GAAGGAAAAGTAGCCCCGAAATGGGACAAGCGCTGCGTCACAGCATGAATAACTAGTCTGCTTCCCGGCCCCGGTGACTAATGGCCACTAACTTCTACCCATTTACAGCGGGGCGACTTAGTAAATGAAGACTAGGGGTCAGCAGCATAACAACATGTCAATGGAAATTTATTATCATACTACGAATAATTGATAAGTGAATTTGTATAGCGGCTCGCCAAATAATGGCAATCTCAAATTTCGATCAAACTTTGACCAAAAGCCGCTAGGCTCAAACGTGACAAGGAAAATCACACTATCCTTACGTTTCTTCTCTTCTGAACACGGTTTCTGTGTCAAATTGTTTTCCATGTCCTTGCGGGTCAATTTACTCAACGGTGATACTTTTCCCGAAGTGTGCGTAGCCCTTGTAATCGGGATGGCTTTGTGCTTTTGCTTTTTGGCAACAGATGTCGAATGCAGAATTTCATCTTGCTTTTCTGATTCATTGTCGGTAAGACAAACGAAACGCATCGATGAAAGGTGAGTCTTATTCGGGTTGCTAAACTAGGGCTCTATACGCTCCCTGGCGTCATCACCCTCCTTCAAAGCCCTAGCCATTCGTACAACACTCTTAAACTGGTAAGATCCAGCTTTCATTAACTCGGCTGGCTTGATCGTTTTGCGGTCTAGAATCGCGTTATTTTTTGGTAAAAAATATTCCAAAAGTAGGTGGTGTCTGGAATCTCTCCTCTTTGCCACAATTTTTTCATTGGGCGGCTGTGATTGCCATCACCTTCATTCACTCACGCGTAAACCAATGAAGCGGCGAGTCACCTTACTTTCCTGCAATATGATTGGCTGATACAACACGGTTATCGCCCGCATTCGAATGCACGCTTCGTTTTGCTGACGTGGCTTAAGCTATTGTTGGATATGCCAAATGAGGTGGTTTTAATTACGCTGGAGTGCGTGTATTAACCTTATAACTTTATACTGTAATAAAAATAATCTCGTTAAAACATTGCTACGAGTGAATATGTAGGTTGAAAGTAGAGGTATACACAGTACCAGCGCCAAGCGCGATGCCATAAAGCTTGCTTATAGGTAGCTTGCCACTGTGATTTAGTCTGGCAATGCCAATTCACACGATGGTACTTTTTCACGCGGTTTCGCACAATGGTATATGGACTAGAAATAGGGGAGCCATTAATTCTCACTCCTGCTGAACAGTTATCCCGTGGGTCCCGTTAAAGCGACATTATTCTTATTGGATCAATTCCATTCTCTAATTGAATTTTCCACACGGGCTTGGGTGTTACTCATTATTGAAGCAGTGAGAATGCGAGCACGAAGCCAAAAACACACCACTTTAGGACGAGATTCGTACTTCTTGCAGGGATGGGTGCTTAATTAGACTAATACCTCATCCTGCTGGATATGCCTTTTCTGCATTGCGCACTTTTAGCTGCCTCCATGTGTTGATGACTAATTTTCCAGGGGAAGTTCATTTCATACCAGCTAAGTTGATAACCATGAGCCGTTTAATGATATTAGATCTGATAGTCACCAATTCTTCTAGGGAAATTGAAGTCTAGGGATAGAGTATGCTAATTCTTCATTTGATTGTCGTATGAATAGTAGGCGCATTAGATACCATCTTGTTCTCGCCAGATGGATTGACCTTCGGGCCATGCCAAAGCCCTATCTCTACCTCCTCCCTCTGGATGCAAGCTTACAGCCAAGTATTATACCTTCTAATGCAAACTAGGAAGACCGGGGTGCTAGAACCAGATTTCGAGAATTTGTGAAACGAATAACTGAAGGATTCCTATCAGTGTGATGCGAAAGATAACAAGGTAGTGAGTTTCATCGCATAGTTAATGCAATTTGCCCCCTTGTTGCTAGTATCAGCGTGTGCAGGCATGCTCCAGGTGTTTTACCTAAAAGAAATTATTGACCTGTAACTGTGACACCTTGTTTATTTGGACCTCTGTATGGACGACGGTTACTTTGTTATACGTCGTGCTCTTGTTTGCGAGGGCTAGGTTTCAGGCCAAGCCAAAATCCACTCGATCCCCTTCTTCGTGAATGAATGCGTTCAGTCCTACTTAATTCCTTCCACCAAATGAGGAGTTTCGACAGTTTGCACTCGTGGAAGCAGAAAGCAAAGTCGGCCATGTTACGACTTCAATGCTGGTTAGTGACAAACTTTAAGGTGGGAATGAAGTGCGTACATTGGTCAAAAGAGTTTCCAATTCCTACACAACAGGATATGTGAGAACTGCGTCGGTGTTTGGCATCCATTTTATCTCCGTGTCCCACTGATAGACTGTGACTACTAAAGCGACACCACCGTTAAACATCTTGAAGAGTACTCCTTTAGAATTCCCCTTACCGAATTTGTGTTCGGATGGAGATGACGATATTAGGCTTAACTCTCCTCCACACAGGACTGTGTTTTACTCCGTTTTCTCTGTTATGCACCTGTTTATGCTTCTGTTCCATGTCTCGCAGCGCAAATCACGTAGCAGGGTGCGAAGTAGAAAAGAAACATTTTATATTTGGTTATTAGGGTCGAGGTAGAAATTCGCGATTCGTGGACAGTAGTAGGATTTAGTATCCGGTGCTGCTACCATTGTAATGTCTCTCACACTGCTCTTCAGATCCTTTAGTCTGGACTTCATTAGAGGATGGTTACTCGGAGAGGGTTATATTGGCACCCCTACTCCTTTTGGAAAAGTGGTAGAGGTTGAAAAGTGGAAGAGAACATGTAAGTGGGTGTTCACAGTGCTAGAGTTGGCTTCTTGTCTTTCCTTCACAAAGGACAAATGGAGAGACTAATATGTGTAGCAGTAAGTGTTGAATAGTTGGACTACTTAACTACTTTCGCAGCACGACCTGATGGTGATATTTTGTTCCATCCTGATTAGTTTTATCTTCAACTAATCAACTTTACAGGGCAGTTGAACCATCAGGTATGGCACAGAATTTAATCATTATGTCTGTAATCGTTTCGATTTAGGTTATGTAAGTGATTTTCGTTCCTTAAATCGATTCGCTACTTTCAAGGTCGTGTTTGTCGTACTGGTTTAAACTTTGTGCATAGAGGGATGATGAATGAAGTGATTCCCGGTTTGTGGTTGGGTTCGAGACCAGATTTCTCGAAAGTGTCCACTCTTCATTGTAATGGAATAAAAGCAATTCTAACAGTTGAACTACAGCCGCTACCTTTGCCAACATTTTTTGCTTTTAAACGTTTGTACATACCTGCTAACGACACACCCTACGAAAATCTTATGAAGTCCTTCGAAAAAGCCATAACTTTTATTGAAGAAAACATCAGAGGTGGTGTGCTGGTGCATTGGTAAGATTTTTTTTCTTATTTTTCGTCTAGTCTTGCTGGTGTCTCTAGAAGCGCCACCATAGTTATTGCCTACCTAATGTGGAAGTTTAGGATGACCTTTGATGAAGCCTATGAAAAAGTTCTGAAGTCACGCAGAATCAGTCCAAATGATGGTTTCAAAAGTCAACTTAAGTGCTTCGAAAAGATGAACTTCACGTACGACCCTTCCTCAGAAGCATTTAAGGAATTCCAATCTCAATATGGTAATTGTAAATTTCTATTTATTAGCAAAATTTTCGCCTTTTAGCTTATTTTGGTCCCAAACTTGACATACATTCCTCCTTTTTACCGGCTTATTATTCGTGTAGGTTATGCCGGTATGTGACTTGTATTTCTTATTTGAATATCTTATTAGTAACCCCGTTTTTCACTCTGACGTTATTATATCGCATAATCGACCCTCTGAAAAGAAAAACTATGAGATGTAAGCAAATGCTGTGCCATATTTTGCAATGGTTAGGCCTTGCGCAGAGGGTGAGTTGTTCACTGAGTATTTGGAGTGGATGGACAATCTTACCTCTGAAATTCAGGGGAAGGTGGGCCTTGTTTTTTTT